CTTTCCCTAGAAAGTGTTGCACGGGAGCTTTAATTTTACCCTTGCTGCTTTGCACAGCATGCATGTGTTACAGGAGTGTAAGGCTAATGTTGGGGTCTGCTCTCATCAAATTTACTGTTAAAATCCATCATGACAGAAAGCAGGATTGCTCAGGAATCCTTAGGAAGTAGCAGTAGGGCCAGGGGAAGGAGGGACAGAGGGAAAGGCAGACAGTCAGACTTGGGAAGCTTCGGCCTGAAGCGAACATGAAATAAAACTCATGGTTTGGAAGGATAAAGGGAGGAAGGGGAAGTACGAATGGAAGGCTATTTCTGAGAGGAGACTCAAAAGGCATTAAGCATTTTTGAAACAAAACACAATGAGGTAATTTACTTTGATTTACTTGAATTGTGGCGCAAGTTACTTCATCTGGTTAATTGCGGAAGTTCATGTTCTGATGTGTCTGTTAGCCTTTTTAGAACCGCTTTTAAACTTTTCAAAATTTCTTTTTACGTTTTTGTAACACATATCGTCTCTTTTTTCTTTGAAGTCTCCTTGATCTTGGATTTGAGAATTTTATCAGAGTGGGAAGTATCAGGAAAATCACTAAAGCAATTCTTCCCTATAGGTAAGAAATCTTTGAGGGGTCTGAAGTGATTCTAAGATTCATAACAGTATGCATGCTGTAAAATTACTATTTTGAAGTCATTCAAAATGTGATTGTAATATACCTATCTCACCCGGCATGGCGGAGAAATGTTACCTTGACTTGGGAATAGAGCTAATGCTTTGAAATGGGAAGTAGTAGAGGAGAACAAAATAGTGGCACTCACGCATTTGGGAGCTCACACAAGGGGGAAAAGCAAAACAGACAGGCTTGACCTAGATCTCTACTGCTGTAGTGATAAGAACTAGGAGGAAGTAATTGTAAACTTAACGCTCAGAGAATTAATGGTAACAACTCATGAATTCTGTACTACTTAGCCAAGTTATCTTTGCTGTAGCATTCTGGGGTTTGTCCTGTAACTGTTTAAAAGTAAGCCATCTACTTAGTACTTTCAACACCATTTGAAAGAACAAAGCAAAGTTCGAGATGAATAAAGTTAAATTTCTATTCCTTGGTGCCAGTGGCATACCGAGGGTATAAGATGGTGTAAGAATGAAAACCTTCGAAGTTCTGCTCCACTCTGAAATCAGCCGTGTGCACGGAGAAGTCATTTACTACCTGTATGTCTCTGGTTGGGGTGGTAGGGCCTGAGCTGGTGGGATAAAGATCTGGTTTAAAACCAGTATTACACTAGTCCATCCCAGCTGGATTCAGGATAGGTTAGTACACTGCTGTAAAGTACTCTTGTGTATAAAGTATGATTATTTTTCTATATTGCGTGTTCACCGAACACTGAAAGCACTGTTATTTTCAGTCATTGTCATGTGTGTTATTAAATTTTTTTGAAGTTTACACGCTGGCTCAGGAAATGAAAACGAGCAGTTAAAAGAGCTGCTTGCTCTCATGAAAGAAGATTTAACTCCAGTTGAAAAAGTATACGTAAAGAAGAGTATTGAGCAACACAAACTGGGGACCAATAAAACTATACTGCAACAGGTACAGTCCAAGCGGTGGGATGGGAAAGCGGGATTCGCGAGGTCTTATTCACAGGGCCCAGCGAACAGGACCTGGGAATCCTGCCAAGCTCCTAGTTTTGAAAAATAAAATGAGCAACTGGGAATCCCCTCTCGCACCTGGCAAGCCCCTGGTTTTGAAAAATAAAATGAATGTTAGGACTAGGACAGGTTTGATTGCATAGTTATTGCTTAGTGTCTTACCCGTGTATGACTTCTCTTGCAGTTCCTGTTTAGTGATACGTTAGAGACAGAACCCCTCTTTGAATTGTATCGCGATCTGATTTAATATTGCCAACCTAGTTTACAACGCAGAGAGAGAAAAAATTTCTGAGCGCAACTAGTCTGCACTGTCACCTTGAAATTAAAATTTATGTACTCGTAAAGGTAGAAGATAAGGACTGAGCTAAATCTAAGTATTGAGAAGATTTCAAATATATTTTATCTAACTTTGCATCAAAGTATTACCTTTTAAAATTACTACTTCCTGTAGAAAAATCTTCTCAATTTCTGGTCTTTCCAGTTGTTTGCTTTTTCTCCTCAGTCCCAACTCAAAAAATCCCAAATTGTTGTAGAGCAATTGTAACAAAGCAGATGCGAGCGATTTGTTTCTTATGCTTACTCCTACTGGTCACGGCTGCCACGTTTGCTGCCGGCGCTCAGAAGGTTTTGGAGGACTGTGTAATCTGAACTCTCTCTGTACCAGACCCAGACCTGGTCTTAAAATACAGGAATCTGATTCCAACGTATCAACACCCCAAGCATAAGAAATGGTAAACTTGGACCCATCTCTGTGCATACACAGTGCTTTTTACTGGAAGTTAGTAGTACATAATTTTTGGAGACCCAGTGAGTGTGACGCAGCGTGCAGTACAACTGCTACAAATTACTTTAGGTGTGTTCTACTGCCAAAGCTATAGTTATGTACCGCACAGAGATTAACCCTTAAATGATCTTAACTTTTTGTCTACCCGTTTTCCCCTCCCTAATAACAAAGGTAAAAGTGGTTGGAGCGACCTGTGCTGCCTGCCCCTTCCCTTGCCTGAATACTCTGAAGTTTCCCGTAGTGATGCTGGATGAGTGCAGTCAGATGACCGAACCTGCTTCTCTCCTTCCTATCGCGAGGTACGGCCTTTCTTTTCTGTTTCAGCAGAGAAATAACTTTTAGTTAGCAGTGACGTGACCTCCAAGGCTTGCCAAAGTCGCACAGCTTTTTAAGAACATGAACTCTGAGGTCTCACCTTAGAAAGGAAGAAGAGTACTTTTAAATTGAGCCCTGCTCTTAGGCGCCTTCCTTGCGTTATTTCAACTGCGGAAAGAGGGTGATGGAGAAGGGAGCCTGATGGAAAGCAGTCTGTGATATATAAACATAGCACACGCTTGCATCAGGAATAGTTCAACATGATTTTTAGACCTTTTTTCTTATTTTTTTAACGTTCTTATTTAGGTTTCAGTGTGAAAAGCTAGTCCTTGTGGGAGACCCTAAGCAATTACCGCCAACTGTTCAAGGGTCTGAGAGTGTTCACGAAAAGGGGTTGGAGCAGACTCTGTTTGACCGGCTGTGCTTAATGGTATGTACTACTAATCACATCGTCAGAGAAGGTGGAGGGTGACATTGTAGGTCCGCTGCAGTCGCTAACAGCGTTCTGGTTGAGATGTCAGAGGAGCAGTGTTTCAGCCTGGTTTTTAATGAAGCAGATGCCATTCTAGTGCGTTTCTCCGTAAATGTTATTTTCACAGTGCACAGAAATTTGTAAGCGTAACAAATATAAAACAAGAATGGATTGAAAACCGATGACAGATTCAGCCTTCTGATCTTTATGTGCAGTTCTCAAGCCAGGGAGAAGAATCAGGGGCTACACTATTTGTTCTAAATTTTTGTTGAAGTGAATGTATGAAGGTTAAGCAGGTTACTGCAGGAGTTTTTTCCACTTATTTCTTGTTTTGACCTAGCTGGCATTGCGAAATAGTTAGTAATTCTTTTTCCTATTCATGCTTTCTGTATCATAATTCTTCAGGGACATGAACCGATACTTCTTCGGACACAGTACCGATGTCACCCTGCTATTAGCGCCATAGCCAACGAGCTGTTCTATGAAGGACACCTGATAGATGGTGTTTCCGAGGAAGACAGAAGTCCTGTGTTGGATTGGCTTCCAACACTATGTTTTTATAATGTTCCTGGGGTAGAGCAAGTAAGTTTTTAAACATGTCTTAGATAAACAGTCCAAGTTCTTCCGCCGTTCTATTCCTTTTTGCGTTCTGCTCTTGGTGAGAGCTAAATTGGAAATCATCTTCCCTGTTTCCAGACTGAAAGAGACAACAGCTTTTATAATGTGGCAGAAGTTCATTTTACAGTCAAGCTCATCCAGGCTCTGATTGCAAGCGGCATAGAAGGATCTGCCATTGGTGTGATTACTCTTTACAAAGCACAGATGTCCAAGGTTTGTACCATGTATCATCAATAAACCAGTTTTCTTAAATGTATTTGTTTAGAATAATCATTCCAGTTCAACTAGGAGGAGTCAACTAGAAGTCAGAAACAAATGTGGGATAGGTAAACTAGAGTTTACCAGAATTTCCCTTTCTTATGGAAAAAAAAATCTGTTTTTTTTCTCTCTAAAATTAGTCAAAATCTTTTAATTCAAACATATGATTTAAAAAAAATATATCTTTTTCCATTTGTTTTCCTTCCACATAGACACTCAGAAAACTGGCAAATGAAATAGTACATAATTTTCAGAAATGAATTAGGGGCTCCTGAGCAAGGTTGGAGTTGTACCTCTTCCGGCTACCCAAGGTGTGACACGGGCTGCTGTGATTAGTAAGCGGTCGCACCGAACGCACCAGTGATTTGTCAAAACCAGGTTCATGGTGTAGTATTTTCCCATGATTAGCTGAGCTTTTACCATCACTGCGCTCTGTAGTTTCTTTCTTCGCCTCTTGGCTCAGGCTCGTCGAGTCCGTTTGCTCGAGACAAGTGATTGACTGCGAGTCGCGTAGCTCATGGCCATCCATCTTCATTTATCTACAGATTCAGAATTTGCTTAGCGGCGTACACTCGGAGGCTTTTGAAATTAAAGCCGTCCAGGTGTCCACCGTAGATGCGTTCCAAGGAGCCGAGAAGGAGATCGTTGTTTTGTCGTGCGTAAGAACAAGACAGATTGGGTTCATAGACTCGGAGAAGAGAACGAACGTGGCACTAACGAGAGCAAAGAGGCATTTGTTGATTGTTGGAAGTCTGGCCTGTTTGAGTAAGAACAGACTCTGGGGAAGAGTAATTCATCACTGCAAAGGTAGTATTTTCTTCTCCTGTATTTTTTGAAACCATGCAGCTCATCTTGTTTCATTACGCTGTGTATACTACGCTTTATGTATTATGGTGTATATATACTATACATCTGTTTAATATAGAAAGTATACAGTGCATACTATATAATTATTACATGTAAAATATAGTATATTGTAGGAAAACGCAAGTGTGTGAAAGTTGCACGTTGGCAGTTTTATCCGCAAACTGGCTTTTATACTCGAAGGGTATTTTGTTCCCCAGGAATGGGATTTCTTTTTCTTCTTCTGGTGCTACCAGACAGCTCCACAAGGAGCACGCTGGTGCGGAGAGCTGGAACCCACTGCATCTCTAGTCCTTTCCCAGTTTGCCTTTACATAGTAGACCCAGGCAGAAACATGTTAGAAACAAATTCTTCTAGGCAGCTGTATTTCTGAGTAGATAGTAATTAAATAAAGGAAAGGAAAATGCACAGTGTCTTTTTGCAACTAGGGGCTCGTTGGTTTTGGAAGATAAATTTTGAGCTGCTAGGAAAAAACAACAATGCTATTGGAGACCAGCTAACTCGACCGAGTAATTCCCGATTGCTTCATTTACAGGTCACTGTCTTGTGAATACACGCGTTTGTTTGATTGGACCACAGAGGGAAATACAGGTTTTGAAAGTTTGGGTGTTTAGAGGTTTTTTTTCGTTTTGTTTTTTTTTCCAAAGGAAGCATTTCATTAATGGCTGAACCCTGAAGAAGAACAATTTTGAAAGCAGAAATATTACAGCCATTCGATGGGCTGGGGGAAATAGATGTTCACGTCACCACAGACTAATTACATGATGGATGCTGTAAAGGGAGATGTAATTATTCTGGTTATTGTTGCTTTTTAGGATGGGAAAATGGATTGCAACACGTAAGCCAATGTGAGCAGCAGCTAAATGACATTCTTAAGCGTTATTTGGAGAAACAGAAGGAAGAGGAACAGAGTAAGAAAAAGGAAAAATAAAGCGTGCACCTATTTTATGAAGAAAATATGAACGGCGTGTGTATAAAAGTTATGAGAAGGATTGCAAATCTAGTATTTCTATTTAATGTGGGAAATTTTTGTTTGTATCTCAATGCACTGATATTTCTGGTTTGACCCCTTGTTTGTATGTATGGCTACAAATGAATAAAGTAACTTTGCTTGACAACCAAAATCCTTTTATGCTTACGAAGTACCTGATTGTATTAGTAGTGTTTCATTATTCTTCTGACTAGATATACTTGTAACGTCGTATCTTAGAATTACTCTATCTTGCATATTTACAAGTCGGTGACATCGAGGAAGGAGCATGGCTACAATGATAAATAAAACACAGGTCTCAAATCTCTGGATGCCAACGAACCGAGAACGGATTGACCTGTATCGAGATACTTTACAGGGTTTAGGGTAAGGTCACTCCGCTTTGTTTCGAAACTACAAAAAAGCTGAATGATTTTTGGTTTGGAAAATAAGAGTGCTGTTGTGTAAGAAACTCTTTGACAAGAAAACAAGTTACTCACCTTTACCACGGCAGAAGTTTGTCCGCAGGCTGTCGTAGAGGCGGATGGGGGAGGCTCGGCGGTTAACGTAGGAACGGTGGGGAGAAGTGGGTCAAGCAGAGACGTCATCAAGCCTCTAGGGGCTGTCACGCTGTTAAAACTTCTTCCAGGGAAGGTGCTGAGGCACGCCGGCGAGCCTGCCATAAGAAATCAGAATGGTGGGAAACACTTCAGAAGGCTGGGACTGGTTAGCTCAGGAAGAAGTACAGAGGAGAGAGGAAAAGCGCATTTTAAGGCAGCTAATGGCGGTTCTTA